CAGGTGACTGACAAATAGAAGTAACTAAATTATAAAATCAGAGCTATGGTGATCTGATGGGCTAAGGAAGGGGCCTTCCATCCCTTGGAGCCTTGTGTGGGGACTGCTGGTGCGCTCTTCAGGGAGACTCAGGTCTGCGCTCGCCATTCAGCCTGAGACTTAAGAAGGGCACACACTGCTTCCAGAGCATGCTATGGCTAAGGGAAGGCAGTGTTGATCTCACAGCTACAAATGCGTGGTGGTCTGCTGAGGTCAATTCTAAAAGACATAAAAGGATCATATTGAAGAAGAGATGTACCTTGCTCAAAACACAAAAGTTTTGTTGTATACTCTGATAACTGTATTGATCTCAGAAAAAAAAAATCATTCATGAAAGAGATGGGAAAGACAGCCAGAAGGAGGCGTAAACCAACGCCACCTAAGGCGGCCAGAGGTGAGAGCGTGTGGCAAGGCTGAGCAGCTGACACTGGTGTGAGACCCAGAATACTAATCCAAGGGGAAACGATTCTGCTTTTGAATTCTACTCTTATTTGGGAACAAATATCTCCAAATAAATTCATCCGATGGGTTTGGCCAATGGGAAGTCAGTCCCATTACTTTGGAGCTTTTTGAATGAGAAGTCTGGTATTAAGACGGACTACATGGCACCGTAAACAAAAGAGGGTTTATAAGCTTGTGTGTTCTGTCCAAAAGGTAAGGTGTGCGTGACAACACAGACATCAGTTACACAGTTTAATCAACAGAGATAAATGTATACTTTCTTTAAATCCAAACCAATTTTCATTGCTCAAGCTGAAGCCTAACAGTGACTCAGTTACACTGAGGGTTTCTATGGAAACAGAAATCCCAGGCTACCTATAATAGTTACTGTTCACACGCAAGTTCCTCGCTAGTGTTCTTTAGGAAGCGGCAGCACTAGGCGACTCTGTGCCATCTAAACGCAAACTTGAGAAACAGGCGAGAACTATTTAGAAGCCAGACAGGACCTCCCTCAGCACTAATTTCCACAAGGGCCACTTAATTTACACACCCCGCCCCACCGCGCCCACCCCACTCCAACTCACCCCTCCCTAGGAATTTGACTACTTTTGACTGTTCCCTTCCTCCTTAATCTTCTCTTGGTTAACAAGACTGATTGGGGCACCAGCACTGTCATATTTGCAGAATTATAGACCCTAAACTGCAAAGTACTTCCGTGAGAGCGCAGTGTTTCAGAAGACTCTGGTGCCAGACTTTCCTCTGCTCACTCGGGCATGTTTGTGATGAACTCAGGCGAGGATCTCACTACCCTGCGGACCATCTGGCTTGCTGGATGACCCCAACTAGTGTTCTGAGAACAGGTGTACCCAGATACCAATCTCCTCAGCCTGCAGGGCAGGCTTTGCACTAGCTGAAGCTCCTGCGGTTGCCTTTAGACTGCAGCAGTCCTGTTCCTATGTCCTGACAAACTCCAGAGTTACTCACCACAGAGTGGAAAAACCTGGAGAAAATGCCAAACAACCAGCGGTACTGCAGGACTAAGTCTGGACAATGTGTCCGGGAAATGGGATTTTCTTTATCCTAAGTCTTACTTTGCCTGTTCTTCCTCAAACTGTGGTGGCCACACACAGTGGTTTGAAGTGTGTGTGTGTGTGTGTGTGTGTGTGCGCGCGCCTGTGTGTGTCTATGTGTGTATTTACACATGCCTATGTGTCTGTATGTGTGTATGTGTCTGGGTGTGTGTGCGTGTGCGTGCATGCCAGAGGACTAGCTTAAATGTTCTTCCTCAAACTGTGGTGGCCACACACAGTGGTTTGAAGTGTGTGTGTGTGTGTGTGTGTGTGTGTGCGCGCGCCTGTGTGTGTCTGTGTGTATTTACACATGCCTATGTGTCTGTATGTGTGTATGTGTCTGGGTGTGTGTGCGTGTGTGCGTGTGTGTGTGCGTGTGCATGCCAGAGGAAGCCAGAGGACTAGCTTAAATGTTCTTCCTCAAGTACTATCCACCTAATTTTCTGAGACAGGGTCTCCTCTCCCTGTGTCCTGGAACTCACCCAGCAGGCTTGGGTGGCAGAATCCCTGGGACTGGCGAGTCACTGTCTCCCAGCACTGGGCCCGTGAGTGCACACTACAATGCTACAATACCTGGTCTTTTTCTTTTTTCACCTTGGTTCTAGGGATTGAACCAAGGTCCTGTGCTTTACACTTCCCTGGCCAACGGTGGGCTGCTCTGTCATCTTTGTACTCCCTGACCTCTCAACAATCTACTTTGCTAGAAGAGGGAACCCTTTAAAATATCTACAAAGAGCAATGGGCTTCAGCATATTGTCTGGAAGGTGAAACCCTACGGTCTATATTGTGGTGGGCAACTGGCTGGTGTCCTTCCTGCGACTGCTTCTTCAGAAGAGTCTCCATCAGGCAGCCAGAGGACAACTGGGTGCAGTGAGTGGCCAGGAGCACCTAGATCACGGAGTTCCCCTTTGTACCCTGCAGGAGAGGCGGCCCATGCTCTTCATGTAGTCCATAACAACAGGCAATCTATTGCTTCCTCAGCAAGGGGCTTACTTACAATGGCTAATCTATCATGGTTAAGGAATATCTGAATGGAAAGTCCCACCACCGAGGGTAAGAAGCCAGTTTTCAAAGGTCAGTGGAGCAAACATCTGGGGACCCCTCCAGAGCCAAAGTTGTAAATCCCCAGAGAGGAAAATGCTGTTCTCAGTCAGCTTTCTAAACTTCCTGTTCCTGCAAGTAATTACTTTCAATACTGGAAAGAATTTTTGTCTCGGAATTCAGAAAATGGAACCAAGGGATTGTTACCATCACGTTTTATGAAGGCCCACATTTTCCCATCACTATTCGACGTTACCCCACATAAACACACCGCTACACAGAAACTTTCAAACAGCTCCTGTTTTTCTTTTGTTAAAGGTAATTTTCTCACCAGTAAAGACTGACACAGGCGTTACCAGAACAATCTCAGACTGTGGTTCCTGCGATGGGGGACTATGTCCATGCATGCTCTAGGAGCATGCAGACTGTGGTTCCTGCGATGGGGGCCTATGTCCACGCACGCTCTAGGAGCATGCAGACCGTGGTTCCTGCGATGGGGGCCTATGTCCACGCACGCTCTAGGAGCATGCAGACCGTGGTTCCTGCAGTGGGAACTATGTCCATGCATGCTCTAGGAGCGTGCAGACAGTGATTCCTGCGATGGGGGACTATGTCCACACACACTCTAGGAGCATGCAGACCATGGTTCCTGTGGTGGGGGACTATGTCCACGCATGCATTAGGAGCATGCAGACCAAGGTTCCTGCAGTGGGTACTATGTCCACACACTCTCTAGGAGCATTCAGACAGCGGTCCCCAATTGCAGTCATGGACTCAGAAAGCCAGAGAGCACAGCATGGACACTGCTTCTGGTATTTGGAGATAACAGAAAGCTAAGCACCCAGAGTGCTCAGGGGTCAAAGGCAGCAGGGGACTTCCCCCTGCTTCTCACATCAAAATTCTTTAGAAGAGAAATTTAATGTGTTTAATATAGCTGGGGAATGCAAATTTATCAAAAGTCTATTTTTGAAGTAGTATCTAATAATTTTTATTTTGAATAGATTTAGAAATAATAGTATTTTTGAAATGGTATCTGGAACCTCTGAGACTGTGGGTTTCGTGCTCCAAGAGATATATTTATACAGTGAAGTCCAAATCATGTTTTTTCCTTCCACTGACTCCTGCTTCTCCCTGGGTCCTGTACTCATATCTTCCACATTGTAAATTTTATTCCATTGCAAAAACAATGGTAAATTTGGATAATTATCTGAAGGAAGCACACCAGAGGCTGGTGGACTCTAAGATGTCCACACTTACATCCTCTGTTACAGCACAGGGGTTCTTCTGTATGACAGAAAATACTAGCGTCTATTTTCACCTCCTTTGATCATTCATGGACTGGATCTGATGGAGGAAGGTCTTTGGTTAATTAATAAAGAAACTGCTCTTGCCTGGACTGTTGCATAAACTGGACACAAAGAACCCACAGAAAGAGGACTGCTGAACTTGCCTAAAGGTGAGATGGTCTTTCAGGGTTCCTGATTCATGAAAGAGTCTGTAAGACATTTTGCAGGACACAGCAGATAGTGACTGAACTGCCTTTGAAATTTCCTGCTTCATGGAAATGTCTCTGGATACTATGGGCCTGTAGGCCAAAGATGGATGCCCCAACCGTACAGAGGAACTTTGGGTGACTGTCCAGGCAGCGAGATATCTCTGTCATTTCTAGAGTTTGGAAGTTGCTTATTTCTTGTTTGCTTAGGTAATATTGTATCTTTCTGGAGTCTTTGATGGAGTTGAAGAATAGTTAGTTATAGTTACAGTTTTCCTTAGCTTTGATAAAGATAAAATAGATGTAAATATTGTAACTGTAATTCTTACTTGATAACTGTTTTGTTATATGTAATTTTGCTATGTTAAAGTTAAAGCCTTCCTTTTTTTGTTTAAACAGAAAAAGGGGAAATGATGGAGGAAGGTCATTGGTTAATTAATAAAGAAACTGCTTGGCCCTGATAGGTTAGAACATAGGTGGGTGGAGTAAACAGAACAGAATGCTGGAAGAGGAAGTGAGGTAAGACTCCTCAGACAGATGCCATGCCACTCTGCTCCAGGGCACATGCGATGAAGCTCTGACCCAGGATGGACATAGGCTAGAATCTTCCTGGTACGTGCACCTCGTGGTGCTACACACATTAATAGAAATGGGCCAAGCAGTGTTTATATGAATACAGTTTCCGTGTAATTATTTTGGGGCATAAGCTAGCCAGGCGGCCGGGAGCTGGGTGGCAGGAACACAGCCCGCAGCTCCTTCAACGTGGATCTTTATATTTTCAATCAGAGGTCAAACCAACTAACTGCCTTCTGATTTATGAACCATTCTAGTTCTGGGTTTTTAAATATGAGATAAATCTAAAAAGGCCATTTCTAGACTCACAACTTCAATTCTCTTTGAAAGATCAGCAGTGTGAACTCTGGAAGAGACAGTGACTTCAGCACATGCACAGCCCCCTGGACACACGGATTCCAGTCCCTGTTTCAGAAGCCATGGCAGGTAAGATAAAAACTAAAAACTAAAGATGACATCTTGATAAAAGTTAGTTTTTCTTGAACTACCATTCAGAGAGGTGAATCTTTTATGCACTAGAAAACAAATATACTTCTGAGGTGGACGAGAATAGCAAGAGCAATGCTCACACCACACTCATTCTGTGTGACACAGAAGTGTATGTTTTTCTGAGAATAGCCAATAGCCAATAATTGTCCCATCACATGAAAAAGGCCACACACGTGGGAAAAATAGGAGAAGAGCTGTTCTTACTGGCGCACCAATGATGTCCCAGTTGGACTCCCAAAGAACGCCACTGAGATCACAGCAGAGCTAGGATGAACACGAGGAAGTTACAGAGGCAGACTCAGTCCTGCCAGAGCTGACTGATCCCTGGTTCCACTTTCCGCTAGGGGAAGAAGGAAGGGGCAAGCTTCAACTGTCAGGAACCAGTTGGTAACAGCAGAAAAGGTGGGATATAGGATTTAAACCTAGGAATGAAAATGATCTTGTTATGCTTCTCGGTTTTAAAAGAGTTAGCAAAAAAGTATATTCCGATCGAGTTCCTGATCTCAACAATGGCGCCACTCATTTCTCTAGGTCACCAGAGCAGTCCATCATAAGCAAGATAAAGCATAAAGCATTTTACAAAAGGTGTCACAGCAGTACACATGTATCAAATATTCAGAATATAAAATGTCACACAAATTAAAACATGTTAATAACAAAACAATTTATTATTGCTTTGCAATACTGAAGCGGCTACTAAAGGATTTACTACATAAAAGTTTATCATAAGTATTAAAGAAAAAAATTGCTTGCTAACTAGCATCTTACTAGCAAAGTTTACATGTTAAATATACATACCTCAACCAGTGAGCCTCAGACACAGGGCACTGCAGTACTGTTTATGAGATACACATCTAGCGATCTAAATGTGTGGGCACGGAGGGCCTCTTGGGCCTTCCTAGAACTACTACTTCAGACACAGATAAATGCTGCTTTGTTTCATATGCTAATAATAGAAACAAAAAATCCAAACAAAATGAAAACAAAAATTTCAAATAATTTTAGTCTAAAGAACTAAATTTGAGGCATCAGCACATTATTTTAGAAGAATCTTCAAAATCCGAAGAGCAAGCATACTTCCAGGCAAAGGGCTGTTAGAGTCATTCACTTAGCGGTGACTGTCTAAGCGTGCGTCGTAGAGCCCATGCACGCCTGACTCAGCATCAGCACGCTCTTCCATGGCTTCAACACTTTTAAGCTATCTGCACATACGCAGCCCAGGCTGCATGCAGGAATCTCACCACTGCCCTTTCCTTGAATGCAGCTTTGTATAGTCCAGCCAAGCTGTTAGATTCAGTGAACTCTGCCCCTGAAAGCGATCAAATCTCAAGTGCTATGTGGAGAAAGATTACTCCCAATTTCCCTTGGCAATTCTCTTCAGAAAATCCTTTGCTTGAATAATTTCTATTATGGTACAAAATTAATACACTAGCAAACGCTGGAAAGCAGGGCTCAGTTCTTATCAGGAGGCACTTTGGGGAGGAGAACGGGCTTTGCCTGAGTGAAAGGAAGGCCTGCTCAAACTCCTGGGAGAGCTCTAAGCCACCGTTCTAAATGCCACGATGTAACCTCTAGACAAAGAGAAGGCCGAGTGTTTGGATATCACAGACTGTGTGCTCACACGTCACTGGAGTCCACACTCACAGCAGCTAAGCTCCATAAGAGAGTTCTTAGGACTCAACACAGTGAGCTCACCAAACGATAGGCAGACCATATTTAAATTATATAACAAATTCTGCAGAAGGTTCACCTTAAAGAGAAATAAAATCTATGCTGAACAAAAAGTAAGCAATTTGCCCTTAAGCAGCTCAAACAGAAGAAACCCAAGTGTACAGTGTTCCCCATCTGCCCGTGGGCGCACGCCACTGAGCGTTCTCACAAACAGCGCCAGACAGCGTACTCCGCTGGGTGTGCAGCCCCTTAAAGGCACACAGGGGTCTATCTCTTTGTAAGGAATGACACACTGGAAACACACAGTTAATATTTTCATGACCTCACACTTACCAAGTAGAAAACAAAGAGCAATTAGATAAATAAAAAGCTTATAGTTTATGTTCATAGCGAGTCATCAATGTGACAGTCACGCACCCTGGAGCTGAACAGTCAGGGTGTGCGGTCCCGCTTCGGAAGGAGGGAGGAGCTACGGCAGCCCCCTTGCATGACAGTCAACAATGAACAACAATCACTGCTTATCTTTAGTATACCTTGCACTGCTAGAAGCTGCTCCTCTGTGGTCCAACGGGCATTAATTTTCTGATTTGACTACAAAATTAAAACAGAAGTTTCCTAGTGAGGATGTGAAGGCAGACATTTTTCCAACTTGCTTTTCAAAAATGTTTCACCAAATCACAAGACATGAGACCGACATGCTGACTCATGGGCTTCATTTTCAGAAGGGCTGAACGCGCCTCGAGTTACCTTTTATCCACACACAAAGATAATGCCAGAAAAATGCACCCATTTGGGGACTGAACAACACCGATATTGCATCATTTTCCAGTACAATGTTCCTATTCCATATCACAGATCTGGTTTTGGCCCAGCTTTTAACGTTCATGAGACCATTTTCGAGAGGGTCCGTGACTCTAATATTTCTTGGCTTCACATTAAGTAAAAGCTGTGCTTTCTTCCATTACAATTGTACAAATCAGACTAAGAATGGAGGAAGCCAAGTCTGAAAATATTTCTTTAAATTTCCGAAGCAGAAAATGATTCATTGATAAGACCTTTTATTTTTTCAAATCCCAGGACCTCTTAATGTTTCTCTCAAAGTCACTGTTAAAAAATCCTACAGCAATCACCACCGAGCCAGACTCCAATTCACTGAGGAGTAAGTCAAGAACCTTTTGTAGTAGAGGGGGAAACCGGTACACCAGCTCACGGATGACCACAGGACATACTGCCAAGGTAAAGCAAGCTGGCACAGTACCTGGACCTACTGGGCAAGTGAGCAGGCAGCGTCCTTCGAGACGGGACATCAGCTCTCACCTCTGGGGACACCAATGAGACGAGGCCTACACTTCTAATAAACAAAGTATTCAGAAGAAAGAAACAACTTCAAAGTCAGAAACAAAATTTTGAGAGACAAAAGGAAAAAGGTCTGGAAGAGCAAGGAAGGAAAAAAACCGAAAAATAGAAATAGAGAATTTCAGGAGAGATAAAAGAGCACAGCACACAGTCCGGGCAGCAACTAGCCAGTAAGCTGCAAGGCCCCTGAGGCAGAGAAGCACAGTTTCTGAGGCACACAGAGTTGACCAGTGGGGCCTGGGGTTGCAGGACTGTGTAATTCCAGCTGCTTGGGAGGCTGAAGCAGGAGGATCTCAAGTTCTAGACCAGGATGGCTACAGTGTTCAAGGACAGCCTAGACAACTTAGTGAGGCTTCTCTGTCTCCAGTGAAATAGGGCACAGACCCCAGTACCCTCCCGTCAGGGAAAAGGAATCAATAAAACCAACCTGGACACCCAAGCAGTTCACAGAAAGAGAGCAGCGTGGAGGAGGGGCAGAAGCTAAGCTGGCGTGTGAGCTCCCAAGCCGTTAGGTGGAAGCCAAAGGAGCTCACTGCCAACTCCTGCAAATCGGTACCAGAACCATTTAAAATGGGTCCAGACATTTCAGAGTGGTGGTGAGAAAGAAAAGGGCCTCCTGCAACTTAATCTGACCTAGAAAGCAAAAGCATTATAAACTGGCCCATTCTTCTCATAAAATAAAGCTTTTATTTACTGTTGTCGCGGGTATGGTGCATGTCTATGCCGTGCACACATGTGGATGTGTGGAGGTCTGAGAACAACTTTACGTGGGTTCCAGGGATCGAACTCAGGTCTCCAGGCCTGTGTAGCTCCTTTGCCAGAAGAGCGCTCTTTAGGGCTGGCTCATCCTAAGGCCATTCATGACGTGGCCACAGGCTTTCACTTGTTTTTAGCACAGCTTTTCTGACTACAGAATGGAACTCTATGACCCTTTGGTTTTGAAAATCGTATGATCATATCATGGGGCTTTGTTCTTTGAAGCCTTCAATATTTTTCTCAAGCCTTTAACTCTTTGTTGATCAAATCATTCCTTTTGAAGTCCTGGCTGCCATTCTGTTCAACTGTTGCTTCTGAGGGAGTTATCCGTCAACAGTCTTACAGGTGGTGGGAGCCGTTCTCTTGTACAGACGCCATCAGTTTTCATCTGGGCCAAGTCTAGAGTCTCCTTGGTTTGCACTGCATCTGCATTTTATCAGCACAGTAATGGATGTGCACAGTGCTGAGGAGGTCAATCGGGTAGCCAGCACCTCACTGCTGGCGGGTGAGCTCTCCTGCACAAGCAGCGACACTTGCTTCATAAACTGCTCAGAGGATGATGGGAGACAGTGCCCAGGTCAGCAAAAACTGACCAGTGACTGTGACGTCTGCTCAAGCCCAAGGGAAAAGGGAGCAAAAATGAAACAGAAACACGGACACTATAAAAATGCCTTTTATGTAGACTTTAGGCCTGTCTGAAAGGCAGGGTCCACAGGCAGAGTCCTGAGGTCTGGGTGGGAGACGTCCTCTCAGCAGCACTGCAGGGTTAAAGCAGAGCGAAGGCCGCTCACCACAGTCCTCAGCCTGACAAGCAATAGCTGTGCTGGCGGCAGGGAGGAGGGGATGTGCAGTGGGGGCAGGACTTATACCAGGACAAGACTCTTAAGCCTGGAGAGCCAGCAGAAGGTGTGGCTGAGAGGTGCTCATGGGAGATGGGAAAGGCGAGTGTCGTTTGGGACACACTGAAAATGAGGCACTGGGACTCAGGTGGAACTCAGGTTCCGCACAGATAAAAACACAGTCTTCATGTATCCAATCCATTTCTGAAGGTTTGAGAAGATTTTATAATGGAGTCATTCATATATTACTTAAATGTAAATGAAGTTCTTAAACAAGGCTACAAGCTTTCTTTAAAGAAGTAATGTACGTCCCGTCCAAAAGGACTCCTGAGTGTTCTCCCACAGGCAGCTGAGGACACGCACTGTCCTCATACATTCGCCAGCCCTGGGACAGAGCACTGGGTTTTTACCTGAACCCAAATATGGCTGTTAAACTCACGTAGACGAGTGTGGCAGAAAGACACACAGCACCCTTAAACACTAGGAACTGCTCGCACTCCAAAGGGATACACTAGAAAGTGACCTGAGAAACGGGACTCAGTATCCAGGCCATGACTGTGCTCCCTGGGTGTAGACTGGGTAATGCCATCAGCTGGTGGAGCTGCTACCATACCTGCCTGCTGCCCCTCTACTTCCTCAACTGTTTGAACAAAATTCTGATGTATTTATGATGTAACTTGGATGCTGTGAAGGGATGAGATTATATTTCTCCAGGAGAAAAAGAGAACTTAGCCCATGCCTGTATGCACGTGTGTAGAAACTACTGCTGAGGGGAGACAGTGGTAACAAGAGAATGCGGTGTCTCGGTGGTTAAGGAGAAGGAAAAGGACGGCTAACCACCTAAAACAGCTTCCCATTGGAGGGTCTGATCTTCTGCAGCAAGTTAATAGCCTTTAAATGTCACCTCTGGGTGGGAGACTGCAGGAGGGAGATGCCAAAGCTGGTCAGGATCAAATGTCTGACAAAATGGAGACAGGGAAGCAGGGCAGACTGAAGAGAAACAGGACAAGGCATTTTAAACGTGAGGGCCCTTTAAGTTATCAACCCCAGAAACTTTAATTTGAAGAAGGATACCTAGAGCATGACTCGTGAATGAAAACTAAACCCTGGTTGTCACAGCGACCTGAATCTGGAATGCCTATTTTAACAGTAACTACACAAAATACAACAATAATAGTGACAATCCTGGCAGCCTCAAAGAGCAGGCCGACCGGACACCAGGCCCAAGAGCAGGCCGAGCAGACACCAGGCCCTCGGCTCGCCTTCGCTTGCCTCTCCGTTCTGTCAGTGGTGCGTTCCCATTATCTGGGAAGAGCTGGGAAAGTTACCAGTTAAACTTCCTGCTCAAGGCTGGAAGCATGAGCGCCCGTCATAAAGGCTGGGAGCAAACACACGGGATGGGACCCCAGTGTCATCCCTTCCGGTATAGCTCTTCTCCCTTCCCTGACCCCCAGATTTCACTGCCTCCACCTGTCCACGCAGTCATGAACCACACACAGCTCCTCCACCCCAACACACGTGGATTTCTAGCTTTGAAATGGCGCTGTCTCCTGTCCTCATTCCTCTGCTACCCTGCCGGATTCACTTCTGACTGCGCAGCAAGCATGTTTGCCTGCTGCAGTGTCTCTTGCCCGGACACTGCCAAAGCAGCTTCCCTAGGATGATGTCACTCTTTAAAGAAGCTGCAGCCCCCCCGCCCCGCACCTAATTCAAAGGCGCAATTCTTCTTCTAGCTCCACATTTATCTCGAAGCACCCTTGCGTGTAACCCACACCAGGTGTTCATTTTTCTCTGCAGCTAAGATCGCCTTTCTAGGCAGAAATGATTCTTGAGAAAAGATGTCTTTTTCTTCCACCGAATCTCAGCACCAGCTCACCTGCCACCCTCCACCGTTACGCTCTCTCTGCCTACTCCGCTGAATTCTGTGTGTGTGCACATTTACCTCTGTCCTCACCACAGCGTCTGTCCTGAGGGGCCCAGCCAGGGTAAGTAATGCCCAGCTGCTTTCTGAGAGCGTTTCTTTCTAAGTCTACACGTTATCAGTTTATCAGATAATATCTAGATTACAAGTATTTTTTAAGCAGGCAGGGAACAATTGCCTTATGTCCTGTTCTCCCCTCCTCCTGCATGCCCCACCGTACCTAAATACTGCCTTAGATGAACAGGGCATTAATACATAGTTGTAGAAGTGAACGTACTTTCTTCATCAAAACTTATTCTAGATAAAATCAAAATTCAAAACCAAATTATTAATAAAGCTCCTCAATAACGATGAGAACTGCGTCTAAGGCATAATCCCTCCAAGTTATTAACAGTTTTGATAAGGTGAAGTCTAATCCAAGGGGGAAAGGACTGCCTTCCGGTGTCTTTCATGAGATCTAACCAGTGTTTCAGAACATATCCATTCAAGTTGCCCGGTCCTGAAAGCAACAAGAATATGAGAAACGCAAGTGTGCTGTGGAGATTTTCTGGAGGATAGTGCTCTGTGTACCTCAAGTCAGACGAGATCATTAAATCAGCCAAGTGCACCCAGACGTTGGTGAACCCATAGACAACGGTAAAGATTTTGGTGATTTCATTTTGCTCATTGTTCTTAACTCAAAAGATATAATAAGTGTTTGATAACTTCTATCCCAGTAGCTGACGTGAGAATCTACCAAACAGTTTTGCTATTCTGTGACACTTCCTGTAAGCTGATGGTAGCACCAGGCACACCGGCCAGTCGAGTCTACAACCCCAGGCTAGCCACAGGAGATGCTATAGTTCACTGCTGGGTAATCTCGAGTAAATTGGCAACCCCTCTGAGGCGCCCGGCTCCTCACATCCAGTTGCCCAGCTAAAGACCAAGGAGGGAGCCCACAGTCAAGACGAGCTGCTTATGGCACTTTCCCATCTTATGCCATGGTAATGACTGAAACTAGCTTGTAATGCTAGAAAATTGAGCGTTAGAATTAGTTTTTCTTGAGATTTGGTACTTTTTATGTAAAATTATCTGGGCTTGTTTTCTTGTGAGAGAAAAATGTTGATTATAAGTTACTCAGCCTTTCCCCACACCCCTTGGAAATTTTAGTAGGACATCTAGAAATTCTCTATTTTATTCAAATTCTTAAATATTTATTTTTGTTTTTAAATTTTGTGTGGGTGTTTTTGCCTGCATACATGTCTGTGTAGCTTGTGCATCCTAATGCCTGTGGAGGCCAGAGGACAGCATCAGACGCCCTGGGCCAGGACTAGAGATGATTGTACGTCATCATATAGGGAACGGAACAGCCAGTGCGCTAAACTGCTGAGCCACGCATCTCTCCAGCCTCTGATTTTCAAACCACGGCATCAAAGTTCTCATGAGTAGTTCCACAGTTTTGCTTTTACATATATGGCATTTATTCACTTATCCATGCAGTGTGTGGAGCACGCATGTGCCTTTGTGCATGTATGGAAGTGACAGACAACTTTCAGGACCAGTTCTGACTCCATCATGCGATTCTCGGGTGCCCTTACTCCCTGAGCCACCCAAGCCAGCCCCCTTCACCCAGGCCCTGCTCCGCCAAGCCAGCCCCCTTCACCCAGGCCCCGCTCCGCCAAGCCAGCCCTCCCCCCCCCCCCCCCCCCGCAAGCTTGTTTTGTTTTTTGAGACAGGATCGCTCTATGAAGGGCTGGCTGTTCCTCTGGTCTCTGCCTCCTGAATGTTGACATTTAGGTGTGCGCCGCCACAGCTGGACCCCGCCCTGTGTTCTGTGCTTTATACCCGCTGTATTCATATAATCTCTAAGTTATGAAACTATTAGCATATGAAATTTGGCTTTATATATATGATTAAATATAAAATAACCAATTCAAATTTTAAAGTTTCCTCTTGCAGTAATACATGAAAATAAAATATTTTGTGCTATACCTCCCTTAATTCAGTGCCACTGGAGTGTATTTAGTTTACTTAGGGGCTTGAAATGAGACCCCAACCTATGCATCTCTCCTTGTTTCCCATAACCTAACCCTGATGTGGGGAGCACTCTTTATCCTACTGCCTCTCCCACCCCCCATCTTATCTGCAGATATTTCAGTCAGATGTAGGAGACACAGCAAGGACCCACAGGAACACAGACAGCTATTTGGTCACCATATTCATAGAAAGACCAATTCAGTATATGAATCATAACTTGGGAGCCTTTAAAAAATCAAAGATTTTACAGCTGAAACTTTTGTAAGAAGATTTCATTGGATTTTAGGGACATTTAAATTCTACTATATTTACCAAGAACAAAGAAACAAAATACAAATAAGGCTGAAAAAAATGGGTACTATCTTTATCTATGAGATTTTGTATTTTCAGGCAAAGTGTATAAAAAATATGCACAGTAAAATCTTCATTGAAATATGAGCACCAAATAAGTGTTTTAAAGTAAGATTTTGTTTAAGAAAAATCCCTTGGGATTTATTTTTGGTGCCAAGTCACGTGGCAGAAAAGGGCCCCAGACGTGTGCCAGCCTTCCCACAGACCTCCAGCCTCTTGGGCTCACTCTCAATGGTGGTTTTCATAGTACTTGCTGAGGGCAGGGCGAGTGAGTTAATTTAAAATAAAAAGATCAGTCAAGACTCAAAAGATAACGATGTGAATGAAAAATTCAGCATGATAAATTGTCCATATTGTGAAAACTTCAGAAAGGACAGAGTAGAACCTGAGCACCGGGTAACTTAAAAGAACAGGGGGCTTAACCACAGGGGCTTTCAGCATCCTACCTCGGGAGGTTTGAACTCTTCAATTCCACCTTCCATTTTCTGCTTAAGTGCACTGTTTACTTGCTTAGCATTCTGAACCTTCACAAAACAACAAAGTTTGTGTCAGACCATGTACTTGGTACATTTTTACAAGTACAGATAAGTGAACAGAACATATATCAAACATCTATCAAAGCCATCTTAGGTTTAGGTTCAGGGGAACAGACATGATTATCACAGCAAAGCACATCATGCTGCCATTCAAGTAGCACATACCTGAAAGACTGACAGACAGACAATCACACACGTACACACGCATGCACACACACACAGGCACATGCACACACATTTCATGGAGGAGCAGTGCTGAGTGGGATCAGGGCTCCACTCCTGGAAGGCCAATACTTTCCTCTCATCTTAGGCAAGCTACTCTCACCTTAATGACAAACTTTTTTTCTTTAAAAAATCCAAATATGATTCAAATGAAAAGTCCTGTCATTTTTTTTGTTTGTTTCTAGTTTATTTCAAGACAGGGTTTCTCTGTATAGCCCTGGCTGTCCTGGAACTTGCTACGCAGACCAGGCTGGCCTTGAACTCAGAGATCCGCCTGCCTCTGCCTCCAGTGCTGGGATTAAAGGTGTGCCCCACCACTGCCTTGGTAGCTCTGTCACTCTTCAAGCACCCACAGAGCACATCACAGTCTTTACAGCCAACGGCAGCTGGCCTACACAAAGATTAAACTATCACCATTTCTCATTACCATAATGTTGACAAAATGGTAACTGTTCCTACAATAGCAATGATGATAATGCCTAAAATTTGCTAGGTATAAAACATCATTCTTGATATGTTAAAAATCCTTCAATTCTCACAATCATTCTGTGTGGTAAATACAATTAGTTCTTCTATAACACAACATACATGTTCTCAAAAGTTACTATATTATGTAAAATCTTCAATTAAAAATCCCGTATCTTATGGGGAAAGGATACTTATTGGGCACAACATTCAAAACCTTCAATGAGAAACATGAAAAGGCAGGAAGCTAGCAAAATGGGGGCTTTATATACTCTAAATGGTTAGGAAATGTGTAAATGCTACAGTAGAGATGGCACTTGACCCTCTAAGGATGACCAGGTTGGTTTGAAGATGGGTGTCAGGCTGACTGCAGCTTCTGAGTTACTGTCTGTGGCAGGATGGCCACCTGTAATTCTCCCCACATTTGACAGCAGACGTGCGTGGTTCCCAGCACGCAGGGAACTGATACAGCTGCCACACAGTGGCGGCTGTGACAGTGCTCAGCCAATCAGGTGTAGTATTTCACCAACAAAAAAATATATATTGGCCAACACAAAATTCATCCTATGCTCAAATTGTTCCCCAGTCTATCAAAGTACTGGAAGACACATTTGTTCTCTGTTTCCATTGGAGCCGTTCACAGAAGTAAAAACATAAGGCATGCAGAAGTGAAGACACCTTTCTGGGCAATCATGTAAGAGGTACGATCTGAATGTAAACCAAGTGCAAACTCCCGCTCTTTGAGCAACAGCCAGTCTCCAGTCTGAGGCCTGCATGTGAGCACTGTCTGCTTGCAGCTCACTGACTGGTCTGGTTCTCACCAGTGTGGGCAGTCAGATAGCATTAAGTTATGCATCACTTTTTTTACAGCCAGGGTATCTGGAATAAGTCACCAGATGGTTTAGAGTAAATTAGCTGGCCACGTTAGAAAACCGCACAGAGGGAAAGGAGATGAGGGGAGAGTAAGAAAATAAAGGAGGTGTTTGGTGGGCGGCGGGGAGGGATGTTCCAGAGGAGACAGAACCTAAGGCAAGTTTTAAAGCATTCAGCCAGCAGCTAAGGTTGGGGGGACAGAATGAACTGTAGGCAAATAGTATTCAGGAAAAAAGGAAGGATGTCGGACCAGAGCAAAGAGCCAAAGAACCATGTAGTACACCAAAGAATCTCAATTTTGCCTAAAGACTGAATGAAATTGAAGACTTTTAGTCAAGAAAATACGATCACACTTGCCTTTCAGAAAGGTATGTTTAATAGGAATGCAGAAGACAGAGTGAGGTGAGAGTTGAGACAAATACAACTCAAGTCAGAAATATTAATTATCCAATTAAGAAACCTCTCCTTGCACACCTTTAATCCCAGCACTCGAGGGAGAGGCAGGTGGATCTCTGTGAGTCTGAGGCCAGCCTGGTCTGCAGAGTGAGTCCCATGACAGTCAGAGTTATGTAGAATGACAATGTAAAACAAACAAACTAAC